ATCATATACGATGTAGATCTGCGCAAATTTAGCAGGAAAAACTGACCGGATCTGTGGTCCATGCGAGGTAACAGAGAACCCAAGTAATGGCACATAGCCCCTTGGACTCTGTAGATGTACACCCCTCGCTGTCCTTGCACCGAAGTATCTTCTCTAACGCCTTGAACCCCACGGCAATCACTGCGAGTAACCCCGATAGAGGTAAAAGCAAAAACTTGATTGTACGCCCGAATATACTTCCTGAACTCGCGATCCCCATAGTACTGTAGAAGCACAGGAGGCACTCGCTTCAAAGCCCGTAGTCGTACTCTGCCTGCAAGGCAACACGACATTTGAGATTCACCTGGCCATTTCCAGGGTCCACATCAACCACACGGATAGATCCCAGGAAGCCGATGTCGGCCATCTGAAACGTTCTTCCCTGAGACCCGAGATTTATCGAATACGTCGTGGTTACAAAATGCATGCCCCCTGCGCACACATTTCCGTCGTATTCGTGCCGCCTCCTTCGCCGCCTCTTGCACTTCAATGGCTTGAGCCGAACGGGTATCAGCGTGACGTTGACGATCGATTTCATGGAGATGACCTGCTTCGTCTTGCGTAATGTGCTCGCGGATTTCCCGACGGAGTTCTGAATTATGTTCCCTTGCCGCTGCTCGAGCTTCATCTGAAAGGCTGGCACGATGCGTGCGCTGCCGCTCGGTATTTGTAACTCTCTGTACAGCGACCGCAGCAAGTGAGCCAGTCTGTCCCTCAGCTTCGTGCGTACGCAGATCCGCCAAGGCCTTGTTGAGTCGAAGTCGCTGTTGGTTCAGTCTCGCCAAACGCCGGCGCTTAGACTCCGAATCTTCCACACCGTTTGGCGCCCTGTTTACATGCTCATTTACGCGCATAGATTCCTCAATCTCAGCCCTTGTTCGACGTCGCCTGACCCGTCCGGTACCACCTGCCGGTTGGGGGATGTGTAGAGTTTCAGACGGCCCTACATCTACGGTGGTATTAGCAGCATTGTTGTGCAGCTGAAGTGGCTCGATTGTTAGACGGCCAATTTCAGTATCGAACGGATCAGGAGCCTCGAGGAGAAGAGCTTCCCGGTTCACATTAATGATGTTTAGCCGTTCCCTTCGATGTGCAGCAGCAACGTCGACGCGACGCTCAGCCCGAGAGCGGTTCTGCAAGCGGTGACGCCTGACAGGGCTCTCCTCCGAATGTAGGGGCGAAGCGTACCGGCGACCCAGCACAGCTCGCTCAGCTTGAGTAACAGATACGTCCGCAGCCGAATCAGCGGCAGCTTGAAGCGCACGGGCGACTTGGCGGCGATTTAGCCGACTCCGCGCTTGCCTCCTATTGGCGGCTCTGCGTACGCAGACCGGACGATCCTCTACGGCCGGCGGCGTAGCGTACCTCGCTTCCAAAGCTCTCCATTCCTCTTGGCTGACCGTGGGGTCGAAGGCAAAATTAGACCTGGGAGTCGACACTGAGAACTCACATGACCATTGCAGCCCCCTAACGTTAAACGTGACACACCGGCGTATGCGCAAGTGTTTCGATATCTTGAAGAATCCGGCCGCTAAGAAAGGAACCCGCTCGATTCTTTAATAAATTAATAAAGATAAATAAATAAGTAATTAATTAATAAAGTAGACAGTAAGATGAGAGCAAAGCTAATTTATATCATTTAAGAGGAAAAGGGCAAAGATTTATTTCATTTAAGAGGAAAAGGGCAAAGATTAGACCGAATTATCCGGTATCAGAAGTTAAATCTATGACACACTCGTCACCGTTTCTTTTGGGTTCGGCATAATCGTCGATGAACCATGGTTCAGGCTCATCGTCGTCGTCGGTATCGCTGTCTTCGTAGTCCTCACTGTCCGAATCGAACAGCTCGAGAGCGTTAACTCTAGAGCGAAGATACGCAATCGTATGTCGAGCGCGGTCCAGCGTAGCGCGAAGGTCTGCAATTTCTTTGTGATAGCTGTACCGAGGACGTTGGACCGGACGTACGTCGAGGTAGCTGTTGCAATTCGAAATCACGTGTGCGGCGAAGAACCATAAAGGTAATTGAATAATGAGAGTTTTAAATTAATAAATTGGGTTTGACCTTTAATAAAACCTATATGTGTAAGTGCCTGATTTACGTTGACATACGATATGGTGGTCCGTTTGTAATCTCCAGCTGTTGCGTACCTAAAAATGCAAAGCGACGATAATGCTCTCTGTCGGTAATCGTGCTGGTAATAAGCATGGTCGTCCAAGAAACGGCGGATAGACTCGCACAGCTGTCTATTCGAAATGCATTTAACATGTACTCGCAATAATGTGTTTGTGTGCGGTTAATAAATTGTGGGCTCGCAAAAAAAAAATTGCGGTGCTGCTGAGAAAAATCTAGTGGCAAATAAACGAATTCAGATTTATAAAAACTGGCTGTTTCATGGTTGAGCAATCGTCATTAAATCCAGTTTATTTACCAATCATGTATGTTATTTTCATTAATTTTGTCCAATGAACTGTCCGGAAAAGCGTGACAGGCACGACAATTTAGTGTGACGGACAGACAGGTTGCTGCAGTAGATGTTTAAGACTAGCCGAGCGCCGCCGCTACGCGGCGGTAGTTTTTGTTAAATCACCTTTTTTTTTTTCCGCCTCCGCTTCGCTCCGGCGGGGTGGGGAGTAGGGGTGGGACAAACAATGATTTCTAAATCGAAAATAGCAGCGATACTTTATAATTCGCTCTCAATCCGGTGCCTCATGTTTCTCTTTTTAAATTATTTTTTTTAATGATGTAACGAAGTAAAATGTAAAAAAAATGTGCTTACATGTCAAAAAATTGTCGGAAAACGATATTGCTTGTGTAGACTCCATTTTCCTTCTCCTGTTCCGGATATTCAATGAGGGCTCGAAAATTCGAGCGTGATGTAACCCTTGATAGGGCGACGTACAGCTGGCCATGTGAGAAACACGGTGTAGCAAGATATAGCCCTAGATTCATAAGGGTTTGACCTTGGGCCTTGTTGATAGTCATTGCAAACGCTGGCTGTACAGGGAACTGCTTTCGACGTAGACGAAACGGAAACTCTCGAGTATCATCGTCGCTGACAAAAATAATCCGCGGAATTAGAACATGCTGACCCCGCCGCTCCCCCGTCATGATTGTTGCGTGAATGACGTGTGGCTTTAGGTCAACGATCCTCAGGCGCGTATTGTTACAGAGCCCCAAATCCGGGTTCAGATTTCGCATCATCATGACGGGAATGCCTTTCTTGAGTATGAGCCTGTGGGGCGGGATTCCGTTAATGTTGACGGAATGAAGAAACTCTTGTTCGAAGACACTTCCGTCATCGTCTTTGACGGAGTCAGCAGATAGGTATTCATGCGCGGTCGTTTGAAGTCGACCCGAAACCGCCTCGTTGATGCGGTGGACCAATGCGTTAGTCGTCGTCAAGATTGTACGGTTGGCGAAGTACTCGTCTGTAGCGACATCAGGATCGCTCACATCAGCATACATGAAATCAATCATTCTGGCCATTCCTTTTGGAATTGTACCAGGCGCAATGTCAGCATCTTCATCTGGCTCGTCCGGAGGGTTATCCAGTAGCATATCACAAAGTAGTTTCAAGAACTCTCCGCCCAGGACCCGGTCGATTTCGTGTCTCCCTTCGCCGACCCTTAGCAAGAACTCTGAAAATGGAGCAATATCGTCAGCGCTTGTCAGGTTATCCGCTGTTTGGACGCGCATGTTCTCCCAAAGCCGCACTTGTTGGAAATGAGGCCAAAGGTCGGATGACTTGAGACAGGCATCAATTGTTTCCGCAGGCGTGCCTCTCTTTACAACCGGAAGAATTTGCCGGAATTTTCCAGAAAGAACAAACACCTTACCCCCAAAAGGCTCGCGGGGGTTGCTCAGGATGTCTCGTAGCGTCCGATCCACGGCTTCAAATGCATGCCGATGGGTCATCGGTGCTTCATCCCAGATAATTAAGCTCGCCTTCTCGATCAGTTTTCGCAAATGTGATCGTTTGGAAATAGAGCAAGTCGAGTCCTTGTCTAACTTCAGTGGTATCTTGAAGGTGGAATGTGCTGTCCTCCCGCCCATAAGAAGTAGTGACGCGATCCCGCTGGACGCAACTGCTAGAGCAATTTTGCCGTCGAGCCGCACCCTTGCCAGTATGTGTCGAAGTAAGGTAGCTTTTCCTGTTCCCCCAGGTCCGTCAATGAAGAACAGCTTTTTGCCAATCGCCGGATCGCTTACTGCGGCAGTGATTTGGCCATAGATTGCTTGTTGCCCAGCATTGAGTCGACTACCAGCGCGCACAATTTCCTCCAACGTAGCCCGGTCGTATCCTGTTAACTCGCGGCGAATAAGTGAGTTTTCCTGAAGAGACTGGAGTACTAATCTTGGATGATCGCTGAGTTGAGGTAGATCAAAATCCTGAACGGAGTACCCGCTAACTCGCAAAAGGTCGTTAATACTTTTCAGCGTCTCGAACATAACAACGGAACCCCGAACTGGATCGAGCAGGTTGCGGTATCTGTGTAGAAAGTCCTCAGACAAATACTTGTAGAACGTATTCCACAAACCGCGAACATCGGTAGGCATTGAGTACACCAAAAGCGTAGCAAACAACTGGCGAAGCTGGTAGGGCATTTGATATGCGGCAGCCTCGGTCATACACGCAACCCACTCTTCGTCGTTTTGAAGGTAGCCGGCATGCAGGGCAGCCGTCTCATAGTTCGGGTGAACAACGCCACCTACCGTCCTTAAATCTTCGAATGAAGTTGGACCTCTGCGATGACACAGCATCACGCGAAGAAAAAACCGCTCAGCATCCCGTATCAGTGTTGTTTAATTAACATATTTATACTTTATTAACTTAAAAAGGGATGGTAATAATGTAAAAATCATTTTTATTAAGTAAAATGAGTTGCTTTGCCTATATCACTATTAGTGATTCAACGGCGATCGGCTAGTGGCGGACCTGCGCGATTTCCAAGACCTGCTGATGATCAAGAAACGCGATCTGGATGAATGGGCACGACAGGAGAAGGCTGCTCAAGCAGAGTTCCTGACGCTTGGTGAGCGGCGGCACGGGGTCAAGTGCTACACCTCGCCCGAGCTTTGCGGCGCTGCAGGAGCTGTTTAAGCGCAAGATCAAGCGAGCCAAGAAGAAACCAGCTGCGGTGGCAAGGAAGAAGGGAAAGAGCCTGACAGTGCGAGAGACGGCGAGGAGCAAGAAACGAAGAAGAGGACGAAGCCGAAGATTATGACGAAGATGACGACGACGATGACTAAGAAGAAGAGGATACCTGTCCGTCTGGATGCGACTTGACTCTGTACAAGAAGGTGCTGGCCCTGCGTGAGAAGCGTGCCGATGTAGACGACGCCATGGGGGAGCTGAACAAGGCGATCGAAGAGCTTCGGAAGGCCGGAGAGCGTCAGACAGCCAAGCAACGTGCGATCGACAAGGAGCTGGCTGCGTCGGAGCAGGATACGCAGCAGTTACAGAGTGAAAAGCAGTCGCGCTTCAACCAGCTGGACGTCATGGTGCCGCTCAGTACGCGGCAACTATGTTGTCTTGAAGCTCCGTCTCCGACTCAGCAGAACTCGACGCTACCTGCTCAAGCTGCTGGCTGCCTCGTGTTCACCACTGAGCGTATCGAGTCGCTGCAAGCAGAGAACAAGAAGCTGCGTTAACAGTTCCGAGACCTCCACAAACAGCAGAACGTGCTTGCTAAGGAGAAGCGTCAGCAGCAAGAAGCCATTGCAAGAGATCAGGACCGCAGCGAGCAGCTCATGCGACTGAAATTTGGACAGCTAGTGGACCTGGAGGTGCTGGATCGCGCTTGTGACGCGTCTTCGGTGGACGAGTTGCAGACTCGTGTCAAGTTACGCGAGGTCGAAGGTGAGCGATCTCTGCGTCATTGCATACCGAAATCCATCCCACTGGATAAAAAGACGCTGATACTAAGAATAAAATTAATTGACGCCATATTTGATTCAGGTTAATGGAGCGGTTGCATACCGTCCAGTAGAGGGCGGAGTTTGCCTTCCCGCCAGTACGTGTGAAAAGCGCGCTAAGTTCGCCTCGGGGGCGACCGGATTTAGCAGGAGGGCGAACAACAATCATGGATCTCGGCGAAAGTCTTGTGGAGTTGGAAGAGAACGAAGAACTGGCTTAAACTTCGAGCTAGGATTCGAAAGTTCCGAAGCTAGAAGTAGCTCGCTAACTTCAAGCAGGTCCATTTTTACAATGCTTACGTAAACATTTTGTAGAAACGTAGAAAGTCGAGTTATTAATAACTTTTTACTTATTAATGTAAAATCCTTATTACCAAACCTGACAACACTGCCCGTATCGACACGTGAATCAGTCTTCCGAGCGATGCTTGAAATTTGGTACGACGGGTCCATTGCTTATCCTTCCAACTGAATTTTTTCGGTACCTCCTGGTAAAGCATTGTTTTTGCGATTTGATTTTCCGGGGCCTCGCTGGCACACAAATCGAAGAAGCGAGTAAGCATCGTGTGCTCGCCATTCGCGAGAACGGTCTCAGGTCGGTCGCTAGTCCGAAAGGCAATCATCTGCCTCTGTTCCAGATGCACTGTGAGCTGCTCGACGGAATGACTCTTTCCTTGAACGGTAAAGTCAAGAAGCCGCATGCAAGCTTCAACAGGAGATATGTACCGTGCATTGAGATACCGCAACACCTCATTTGGCTCGTCGCGTGGTCTGCCCATCTGCTCACCATCCCCCCTCACGGCTTCAACCGTGAGTACTGCCTTATCGGAACCCTTGTACGCATATTTGTATAGATACTTCACAGCCGTGATAGCCGTACAAATCTCCACGCTGATATGACAGTTGTACTTCTGCGAGAAGTACGGATTGTAAGGTACAACCCATTGGTTTGCCGTCGCGTTGTCATACTCCCGACCTCGCAATTTTAACACACCCTCCGACCGACGGCGACGCCTGTAGACCGGATACCCATCAACATTTGCTCGTGTAATCTCCGCCAAAGGTTTTGGAAATCCTTTGGAGCACTTGCCGTCCTTCATACAGGCGCACTGGGATTTTAAGTGTCCACATGGACCATGCATCATGCACGTCATCACTGTCTTATAAAGATCTGGGTTGCTGACTTCGTCGGGAATCTCTGCAGAGACCATTTTGTCGATGATATCTCGTGTCCGTGGTTTGTCTTCGTCCGCCAAAATGATCAAGATATGCGCGTGAGGGAGGCCTCGCTTTTGGAATTCAACAGCGTAAATGCGAGCTTGGACGCGACCAAGTACTCCCTCGTCTAAATCCTTCAGCAGGGCGCGGAGTTTTAGCTGCCAAACTCGGGCTACTAAATCAGGACGGTCCTGTGCGGTATAGCCGCCAGGAATACCGCTGACAATTTCCTCCCATTCCGGATTGCACGTCCTCGTTAAAAAATATCCGGTTTTCCGTATTCGCGAACAATCGCCATTGAGTCCTGATAAGACTTGTACATCTGCCTGGGCCCACCAGTGATGTCGCTGGAAAATGATTTTCTTGCCAACGCGCTCTAAGAAATGCTGTTCTGTAGTGCGAGTAGACCTTGGGGGTTTGTAAACGGCGAGTTTCTCGATTGTACTCGGAAATTAGACCCTCGCCCTCACCTAAAACCAAGGTAGTCTCATCCAGATATGCGTCTGCTACGCCGGTGTAAAGCTCCGCCCGTAGTGTCTGTTGGTTATTGGAAACCCACCGCAAAAAAATCCTGCTCCACTTTCGCTCGTTGGTCGACACACCACTGCTGGAAGAGCCGACCACCGTGGTGTAAAGCGGTCCCATCGTCATCTTTTGGAAATAGTCGATACGCAACAAACTCTCGCAGAGACATCTTTGTTTTATCTCGATACTTTTGTCCGTTGGCGTAGGTATCAGTAAATGTCCAACCGTGCTCTCCCATCGGGAATAGCAAGGGATACTGTAGCGGATCATACATTGGGTTGGTCTCGAAAATACGCAAGAGTCCGTGCGGCTTGGTGTACAGCTGTAGATCCCGATACTTGTTAAAGTTTCCATCCTTGACCATTACGGCACCAACCTCGCTCACAGTAGGTAGATTGGTAGTCCCCGGTCTGCGCTTGTCAGCATGTAGATGGTACACAACGTTGATGTAGTCGTTTCCCTCTGCCATATCTCTTCGGATTTTCTCTCCGTGGTTGAGGTATTGCTTGGCAAATGGGTTGTACGTAGCCATCGTTAGCTCTAGAGTCGTCAGCTTCTCATGGTCGAGCTCCGCAAAAATACCCTTTCGTCGCAACGTTCTTTGCCTTAAATCATCATATACGATGTAGATCTGCGCAAATTTAGCAGGAAAAACTGACCGGATCTGTGGTCCATGCGAGGTAACAGAGAACCCAAGTAATGGCCCATAGCCCCTTGGACTCTGTAGGTGTACACCCCTCGCTGTCCTTGCACCGAAGTATCTTCTCTAACGCCTTGAACCTCACGGCAATCACTGCGAGTAACCCCGATAGAGGTAAAAGCAAAAACTTGATTGTACGCCCGAATATACTTCCTGAACTCGCGATCCCCATAGTACTGTAGAAGCACAGGAGGCACTCGCTTCAAAGCCCGTAGTCGTACTCTGCCTGCAAGGCAACACGACATTTGAGATTCACCTGGCCATTTCCAGGGTCCACACCAACCACACGGATAGATCCCAGGAAGCCGATGTCGGCCATCTGAAACGTTCTTCCCTGAGACCCGAGATTTATCGAATACGTCGTGGTTACAAAATGCATGCCCCCTGCGCACACATTTCCGTCGTATTCGTGCCGCCTCCTTCGCCGCCTCTTGCACTTCAATGGCTTGAGCCGAACGGGTATCAGCGTGACGTTGACGATCGATTTCATGGAGATGACCTGCTTCGTCTTGCGTAATGTGCTCGCGGATTTCCCGACGGAGTTCTGAATTATGTTCCCTTGCCGCTGCTCGAGCTTCATCTGAAAGGCTGGCACGATGCGTGCGCTGCCGCTCGGTATTTGTAACTCTCTGTACAGCGACCGCAGCAAGTGAGCCAGTCTGTCCCTCAGCTTCGTGCGTACGCAGATCCGCCAAGGCCTTGTTGAGTCGAAGTCGCTGTTGGTTCAGTCTCGCCAAACGCCGGCGCTTAGACTCCGAATCTTCCACACCGTTTGGCGCCCTGTTTACATGCTCATTTACGCGCATAGATTCCTCAATCTCAGCCCTTGTTCGACGTCGCCTGACCCGTCCGGTACCACCTGCCGGTTGGGGGATGTGTAGAGTTTCAGACGGCCCTACATCTACGGTGGTATTAGCAGCATTGTTGTGCAGCTGAAGTGGCTCGATTGTTAGACGGCCAATTTCAGTATCGAACGGATCAGGAGCCTCGAGGAGAAGAGCTTCCCGGTTAACATTAATGATGTTTAGCCGTTCCCTTCGATGTGCAGCAGCAACGTCGACGCGACGCTCAGCCCGAGAGCGGTTCTGCAAGCGGTGACGCCTGACAGGGCTCTCCTCCGAATGTAGGGGCGAAGCGTACCGGCGACCCAGCACAGCTCGCTCAGCTTGAGTAACAGATACGTCCGCAGCCGAATCAGCGGCAGCTTGAAGCGCACGGGCGACTTGGCGGCGATTTAGCCGACTCCGCGCTTGCCTCCTATTGGCGGCTCTGCGTACGCGGACCGGACGATCCTCTACGGCCGGCGGCGTAGCGTACCTCGCTTCCAAAGCTCTCCATTCCTCTTGGCTGACCATGGGGTCGAAGGCAAAATTAGACCTGGGAGTCGACACTGAGAACTCACATGACCATTGCAGCCCCCTAACGTTAAACGTGACACACCGGCGTATGCGCAAGTGTTTCGATATCTTGAAGAATCCGGCCGCTAAGAAAGGAACCCGCTCGATTCTTTAATAAATTAATAAAGATAAATAAATAAGTAATTAATTAATAAAGTAGACAGTAAGATGAGAGCAAAGCTAATTTATTCCATTTAAGAGGAAAAGGGCAAAGATTTATTTCATTTAAGAGGAAAAGGGCAAAGATTAGACCGAATTATCCGGTATCAGAAGTTAAATCTATGACACACTCGTCACCGTTTCTTTTGGGTTCGGCATAATCGTCGATGAACCATGGTTCAGGCTCATCGTCGTCGTCGGTATCGCTGTCTTCGTAGTCCTCACTGTCCGAATCGAACAGCTCGAGAGCGTTAACTCTAGAGCGAAGATACGCAATCGTATGTCGAGCGCGGTCCAGCGTAGCGCGAAGGTCTGCAATTTCTTTGTGATAGCTGTACCGAGGACGTTGGACCGGACGTACGTCGAGGTAGCTGTTGCAATTCGAAATCACGTGTGCGGCGAAGAACCATAAAGGTAATTGAATAATGAGAGTTTTAAATTAATAAATTGGGTTTGACCTTTAATAAAACCTATATGTGTAAGTGCCTGATTTACGTTGACATACGATATGGTGGTCCGTTTGTAATCTCCAGCTGTTGCGTACCTAAAAATGCAAAGCGACGATAATGCTCTCTGTCGGTAATCGTGCTGGTAATAAGCATGGTCGTCCAAGAAACGGCGGATAGACTCGCACAGCTGTCTATTCGAAATGCATTTAACATGTACTCGCAATAATGTGTTTGTGTGCGGTTAATAAATTGTGGGCTCGCAAAAAAAAAATTGTGGTGCTGCTGAGA